TACACTTCCTAAAACCAAATCATTTCAGAATGCTGCTGTCCATCTCGTGAACACAAAGACACATCACCACCTCTAAAAGTATTTTGGCAACAGAGTTAACAAACAGGACTTTAAGAAAGGTATCCTTTTCAGCTTCATGTTTCCACAGGTCCTTCTCCTCTTCTTCTACCTGCTATGGTAAAATCTCATAACAGGTAGTACATACAACCTTGTTCTGTGCAATTTCTCTTGCAGATTTTATAGGTGTCCCTCATTCATTTTAAAGGAGACTACTGTAACGAATCTCCTCTATAATGCAGGTCATGAAGTTTTACTCAGCTCTTTATGTATCAAGTCCTCATTCACCTGTCTGAGATGTATCTTTCATCTTGGCAAAACATGACTTTTACCAGGATGGAGTGAGTGCCAGCGCTGGAGGATCTACTCTACTTGATGGTATGTTCCAGCTCTTCATTAATAGTATCATCTTGCCCTCGGTGGTTATAATCCAAGCAAGAAGAAAAAAAAAAAAAAATCTCCATTACTCTTTCTAGTAACTTTTCCCCCTCTTCTCTCTAGCTGCTAAAGCACTTTTCTGAATGGAAAACTGTCAATAAGACAGTTAAGGGGAAACCAGTTTATGAATTTGCAGATACGCAATACTCAGTGAGGTATAGCACAATCCACCGTGTTAAAAGATTTACAGGTTTTTAAGGAAATGTTTTTGAGTTTTAATCTTTCTTGGCACCCTGGCAATGAAAGAGGGGAGAGTCAGTGGGTTGAAGCAGGTGGCATGTTTTGGAGGAAGATAACATCACAGTAGATATAGCAGATTAGCTCTCCTCAAGCATGGGTTGATGTATCTCTTCAAAGTCTGGCACTGACACATTTTTTTTGGCCAGAATATCCAAATTTACCACTATTTCCCCAAGGTTTCAAACACTGTCACACTGATGAGAGAGTGAGATAAAATTGATTGTAATCTCACCAAAGCTATGGAATAAATATGCCCTTTTAACTATAAGAGCAGCTGCTATGTAATTCCCCACACCCTCCAAGGGAAAAGAAAAAATATTCTCCTCTTCTCAAACACCAAATTTTCTTGTACAAAACTTTCGTTCTGGATTATGGTGTACTTTTTTTCTCCCAAGCACAAGGACAAAATATTGAAATACTTAAGCTGCATGCTGCTACTTCTAGGAAACTTAGATGCTGTCTTTTCCTGGAAAGAAGTAACATAGCATTGAGCATGTGGTGCTATGCATGTCCATTGCCTCTAGTTACAAAATCTTCCCCTAAGTCCGTGTAGAAATGCAAAATAGTCAATATTGCTTTGAAGAGCTGGTTTTACATTGTTCCTTTCTTCCTAATTGAAAAGATATAAATAAAGTTTGGAGATGCATGGTTCAGGGTTTGAAGCATAGGTGCTCCCTGCACAGGTTCTGGCACATGGCCTCCTTGCCCTGTATCCGTGAGACCCAGGTTTCACTCAATCCCTCATACTACACTTCAGGAAAAGAGAACTGAAGTTAAATAAAAAGATTCTCCTATCAGAGTTTATATGTCTCACTGGTGTCATGAAAGCCCTAACTGGGCAGACAGACAAAATAAGTTTAGTATGCTATTTTGTAATGTGCTGTATTAATAGTGATAGGCCGCAATACAATGGGCTTGCCCTGTAAATGGGCAAGATGGACAGAAAGAGGAAACAAACACAGAGGTACAGGAATTCACTCAGATTTGCACAGCCCGTCCTGTGACTGCTGTGATTCCTAGCCCTGTCTATAGCTTCTCTTGTCTTCAGAGGCAGCACTGGCCTCAATACACAGGTGTTCATAAATAGCAAACTGGGAAATCAAATAATCCTGCAGATGCTGTTCTGTCTTCTCAAAGTATTTTTGGAATGGTGCATGTCTGTGAGAGAAGGTAGTCTGACAGCAAGGCTGATGTCCTGCGGCCACACTTCTATTTATGTCCTTGGCCTTTCCAGTATGGAGGTGTTCATGGTCCTTCTACTCTGTAAAGAGACTGGTCCTAATAAAACATCTCTCTTTTATTATTCTATTGGGATAGTCCCCAAAAGCTTTGAAGACATTGGTATGGAAGAACATTAGAAGCCCATGCAAGCTGTCACTGCAGGCTGCCCAAAGGTTTTCAGGCAGAGCTCAAGTCCAGTGGCAGAGGGCTCAAACAACGGCGGTGGTTCCCAGGCTAGGCCCCCGCCGCCTTCAATTCAGGCAGCTCGTGCTTACTGCAGTTACACAGAGCAGATTTATGGTCATGAATCTGGCTCTTAGTTTCCAGAAGCTGCTTGGTCATTACTTCTAATATTAAATTTTTCATGGAAGCATCTGTGCAATTGACATAGGGATGATGTTAGATGATGATAAGCAAGCACATAAAGAAGCATAATTACAAGTCAGAAAGGTGAAAGTCCACAAGGATCCCTTTTCTAAGATGTGGCCTTTAGCAAAGAAAACTGCTGTAAAGACCCTTCTGGAAATATGCAGCCTGGCACTGTAGATCATATTCCTATTGTATGTGATCATCCTGACTTAAGATTCAGGCCCTCTTTTGATAAACACTGTACCGTTGTATTTCCTCATACATTCTGTCAGTCGGGATCTTGGTTAAAAAAAAAAAAAGGCAAGCTTGCTGGAAGATGGACACCTGATATGAAGGATCTTTAGCTTTCAACTCTATGCTACCTTTGGAGTATACAAGGACATATATAGATAGTGTGATATTTGGATCAAGGTGCCATACAGGTAGTGCTAGTACTGTACGTATTATAAATGCATACAGGCGGGGAAGATAAAAGGCAGAAGTGCAGTGATTTCTGTGAGAGAAGCTTAACAGGTACAGTTAACATGACAGTTATAATACACATTAGAGAGCAAGTCACCAAGGCAATTGGAGTATTTCATTGCTTTAGCAAACCTTTTTTATTACATTTTGACTTATTAAAAGTTGGGATGGTTAATTTTTAGACATTTCTGGTGAATTCCTTCATGGAAAATAAACTTTCTGGATAATTTATCCCATGATAAATTGTAGCATGATTTCATGCGATGGAATGACAAGGCCAATTATGAAATACTGTTTAAAAAATTACTAAGAAGGCTTAGCCTTATTTCTCACCTAGGACAAAACTCAGAAAGGTCTTGAAAATAAGGGCCTTTCCAGAAAGATCGGTGTGTGGTGCGAACAAGGTGCAGATCACCCTACCAGCGGACATGATTGGTGAGATGTTTGCCCTGCTGCAGCAGATGCTGTGCTCTGATGCCCTGCTACAGCATGCCACAAAGCTCACTAGGTGGAGCTCTAAGGTACCAGGTATTCCCTCTGGGGACCTACATGGAAGAAACGCTCAGTGTATCCAGGGGGAGATTCGAGCATGGAATTCACAACTGCACCTCAGCGTGGTCACACAAAAATGAGGGACTCGTATTAAAATAATAGTAGCCCTGGCTCACCCCTAAAGGATTAAGGATGGGAATGCCCAAAGCAGAGGTGTACACATTCAGAAAGCAAGCAGCTTTTGCACCATGCACTACTTAATTTTACGAAGTAAAAGGATAGTGGCGTGTACTTCTACTAACCAAGCGGCTGGGCTAAGCAACTTTTCTTACATTTCCTTCCCATCTCTTCAGGCTTAATGATACTTAATAGTGCTACTCTCTGAGTAAGCACATTGTACTGAAACATGCATACATTTGGGAGAAACTTGACAAAAAGAGGTGTCTAAGGCTATGGCAGTATGCATTTATTATCCAGGTAACAAGTGGATGTCACACACAACAGCCTCACCGGGGAATTAGGAAATAAAAAAACTAAAGTAGCAAAGCTTTTTGGGGGAAGGATGTCTACGAAAGAAAGTGTAAAGAGAATAGGAGTGCGAAGTCATAACAAGGGATGTCTGCAAGCTATTTCAGTCCTTTAAAAACAATCAGCTGGGAGACTTGGGGGTCACAGAAGTTTGCCTCCGAGGGGGCAAATTTCTCATGTTTGGGTCTAAAACCGAAGGATTCTCTCCTTCACAGTGGTGGTGGTGACAATGACACTCGTAAACACACATCTGCAGCAGGGGCAGTTACAGCACCGCTGATCATTTTGGGGAGAGCCAGGCCGGGGCCGCAGGGGTCACCTGCGGAGCCGCGGTTGCCTCGCGTGGGTTGCCAGCGGGGCTCGGAGGAGCGTGGCTCCGGGGCGGGGGGGCCGGAGAGGGGCAGCGAAGCCCCCGAAAGCGCTGGAGAAATCCTGCGGCTGGCCATGACCCGAGGCAAGTGGGAACGGCGGCGCTAGGCGTGTGGCGCGGGGGGGCGGCCACGGACGGACGGGACACACAATACAAAAAAAAAAAAAAAAAAAAAAAAGTTTTCTTTTAGTCTGAGCCCAGGAAGGGGGTGGGAAAAAAAAAAAAAAAAAAAAGTCCCTCTCAGCGGTTGTCAAGGAGATGGGCCGCCGGGTTCGCCGGCCTCCCTGCACAGCCCGGGGGGAGCCATTTCCCCGCAGCGCCCTGCGCGGGGCTGCGCCCGCCAGAGCCGCCCCCGGCCGCGGGGGGTCGCCCTGCCCGGGGTGGGGGGGAGGCGCTAACGGTCCGCCCGCGCGGCTCGGCCCCTGAGGGGAACAAAGCTCGCGCAGCGGGGGACGCCCACGGACGGTAACGGCGCTCGGCGGGCTGCCTACCTGCTGGGAGACGTGAGAGGTAGCTAGCGGGGGCCGCCCGCCTAACTAACGCACGCCTCTCGGGCCGGGGAGTGTGTGTGTGTGTGGGGGGGGGGGGGAAGTTCAACCGCCCCGCCGACCACCCCCACCCCCGGCGGCGGCGGCGGCGGGGCTCAGGGGCAGTCCCGGGGGCGGCGGGGCGATGGGGGCGGCCCGGCCCGCCCCGCCCCGGCGGCCGGCACCGCCCCCGCCGCGGGAGCCCCGGCGAATCAGCGGGGCGCTGTCAGGGCGTCAGCGCCGGCGGCTCCGCGCGGCCGGCCCCGAGCGCGTCCCTTATCGCAGACAGGCACCGGGGGATCGCATCATTATCATGGGCACTGTTTGCTTTTCGCGGCGCTGCTGTTTGCTTTTCGCTCTCGCCTGGGCCGGCAGGTTGGCGGGAGGCAGCGGGGGCGCAGGTAAGAGGGGGCTCCGCCGCCGTGCCGCCTTCCCCGGGCTCGGGCGGCGCGGAGCCGTGGCCCCGGGGGGACCGTGCTTGTCCGCTCGCCTCTCCCCGGTGTAAGGTGTTGAGGGGGAGGTCACTTCTCGCGGGTCCTAGTTGTCGGGGGTGTTGGAAGTTGCGGCGGGGAGGCGTTTTCTCGCGTGTTTGACACTGCCGGAGCCAAGGGACGTCTGGAGGGAGAGACGGGGAAGAAAAAGTTACTTTCCTTAAGTGCCTACGAGATAAATCTGTGCTGAACCCTAGAGACTCCGCAGGGGAAGCGTTGGCTGTTCTGCCTTCACAGGTTTTCCCTGTCTACGCATTAACCCAAAGACCTGGTGTTTCTTAACAGCCGCGCTCGTATCTGTTTAATAGCAGTAATTATATTAAGTCTTTTCTTCGGTGTTCAAAAAAAAAAAAAAAAAAAAAAAAGAAGAAAATCCCAAACCCCATCTGCCTAGGAATGTTGTAAGCCCAAAGTAATTTCTTAAAGATGTGTATGCAGTCTCTGGAGTAGTGCTAGAATAAATCCTTTAAGGTAAAGGGGGGGGGGGGGGGCAGCGCAAAAATCCCTTGTCCGCATATACCAGAATTTAAATGAACGAAGTCAGCATAGAAGTTCTTAAAGTCCAAGAAATGCAATGTGAGATGTGGAGCAGAGCAGGGGCTCATATTTGGTTTTGCCCTTTCATTTGACTCATTGGCATTCACGCCTGACTCCCAGGCATCCTCTGGTTGCTGTGAAATGTCCCCCTTGGCTCAGTGCAGTTTGAATTTTTGACGGCATTATAAAGAGTCCAGCTGTCACTTTTGCTGATCTTGATGGGAGATGGGTGCTGGTTTAATGAGTCAAAAGTATGAACCAAAGCATTTAAAAAAAAAAAAAAAAAAAAGAAAAAGAAAAAGAAAAAAAAAGGGAAAAAGGAAAAAAAAAAAAAAGGAAAAAACAAACTTCTTTTTGTGCTTGACTGGATCTGTGTCTGATCTGGGCAACACCCTCGGACCCCCTAAGCTAATTCACGTAAATCATAGCTAGATCTGAACCGGCTCCGCGGTTAAAATAAACGAATGGACAAGAAAGAAGGAAACAGATTACAGCAGCCCTGTGTCTCTCCAGAAAATAAAACGCTCTCTGTTCTGTTCCCCTCTTTTTTTTTTTTAAAAAAAAAAAAAAAAAAACAAAAAACAAAAAACAAAAAAACAAACAACAAACAAACAAAAAAAAAACCCCACAACAGCAATACAGAGCCCAGGCAATTCTCTTGCTGGGATCCCTGAGGTGCCCCACGGGGCAGTCCCGGTCTGCGCCTCCCGGAGAAGTTCTCTGCTGTGTGCCATGCCACAATATCTGATTATTCTCCCCTCTCGAAATAGCCCCCTCCTGTCCCCGGTGACTTTGAAGGCTCCGTGCGTTATCACTGGAGATGGCTGAGTGAGCACTTCTGAAACAATTAGCGTTAGGATTTCAAGCTAACAATAAAACTGTTTTCACTTTGGTGCACCTTTTCTGAGGATCTGTTAATCTAATTGGCATGAAACCAACTGCACATGTCTCTCGCTGGCTGCCCCCCCTCCCTCCTCAGCACCCTTCTCGCTGCTTCCTAAAAATGAAGGGGGGGCTGTGCTCCGTCCAGCTCTCCCAGTTGTTACCCGTGTCGTGTCGCGTCCCCCCCCCCGCGGGCAGTGCGCTCCCCTGCCAGCCCACCCGCCTTTCCCCTCCGGGCAGCCCCGCAGCCGGCTTTGCCACGCCGTGGCGAGGAAACCCGCGTGAGGTGGGTTGCTGACAGGACGGCGGCCGCTGCCCCTCGCGGGAGACGGGGCGGCCGGGGACCGGCCGTGGGGAGCGTGGGGGGCAGGGCAGGTTGGGCACGGCTTGGAGTGTTCCCATGTTAATAGCACACCCCATCCCTGAATAGGTCGGAGCTTTTTTTTTTTTTTTTTTTTCCCCTCCTTTCTATGTTCACTTCATTAACATTCCCACGACTACCAAATCTCGACTCTCTCTCATCCTCCTCCCTCCCCCATCCTCTTTAAACCCGGGGGAGAAAACGAATGCCCGTCACTGAAATGTTTGTAAAAGCTTCCTACCCTGAAAACAAGAAAAGCGGTCTGGGTCCCCCCTTTCAGAGTTCGGCTCGCCAGCAAGGCACCCGTCCGAGCAGGGGCCGGGAACACTGCTGGCACTTTTTCCTTCTAAATGGGTTTTAGTCGATGCAGATGATTTTGTTGCAGGTTGCTTTTCTCCACGCTAACTTAACCAAGTTTCATATGGTCTTCCATTTATTTATTTTTTTGCCTCTTAATAAAAAGGATTAATGTGGTTTTGCTGTTCAAATATTTCTTTTTCTCATTCTCCCGCCAGCATAGTTTATTTAAACTAGGGTCTCTCTTTCTAAATTAAGATGATCTCTTTTCTAGAACATGCAAATGGGCTTTTTTTTTTTTTTTTTCTCCTCAAAACGCTCATTTAAGCGCTCTCTTGTTTTACCAAGATGTGGGTCTCCAGTACCAGACCTATACCACTACCAGATGCTAATTGTTAGTATGTCTAATGATTGCCTAATGCAGAAACGTGGGACCGAGTCACTCAAGCTTGGTGGAGCCGTGCTTCGAAATGACTTGAGGAGGACAGCAGGTTGGTTTGTTGAGTTATTTAACCTTAGATGTTTCCATTTCCACGATGACACTAGGGAGGCAGGCAAGTGAACAGCTTCTTCAAGGGGAGCTTCTTCAATCTATGGGTGCCGGTTTCCTGTGTCTCAGGTACCCCTTCTTATCTGTCCCCTTGGGGTTCCTTCTGTGCTTCCAGATGTTGACGAGTGCGCAGAAGCTACGGATGACTGTCACATCGATGCAATTTGCCAGAACACACCAAAATCCTACAAATGCATCTGCAAGCCAGGCTATAAAGGCGAAGGAAAACAATGTGAAGGTAAGGACAGCTCGGCTCCTCTCCTATCTCGCCTCCCCTCCCTTCTCTTATTTGTTTGCTCTTTAAAAGCTTTTGTAAATAGCTGAATTCCTGAAACGATTAATGCAGATTTACAGCTGCTTAACCTCAAATCTCGGTGGTTATTGGCAAGCGTCCCCCTGCTGCTTTTCCTAATTGCCCGGCATCACAAACATCGTGTCCGCCATCCTACTTTTAAAAATAACAAATTAAAAAAACAACAAACAAAAACCTCAAGCACCAAAGGGGCGGCGTGTGTGTGCGTGTGCGTGCTCCCCACGGAGGCGACTCCCGGGTTAGCAGCAGCTCGCCCCGGGCAGGGCTGGCCCCGCTAACGCCGGGGGCTCGAAGCGCCGCGCCGAGCACGTGGGCCCGCCCCGCCCCGCCCCTCCCCGCCGGGGCGCGGCCGCCGGGCCGGGCCGGGCCGGGCCCCGCTGCCTCCCGGGGCACAGCGGGTCGGCGGGCGGGCCTGGCCCGGGGGGGCCTCGTGCTTTCTCGTGCTTTCCCCCGCTGCCGGGCCGGCCGGCGGGGCGCCGGGGCCGCCTCCCGCCCGCCCTCCGCTCCGTCCTTCCCTCCCTCCTGCGGCCTCCGGCCTCCCGGCCCGGCCCGGCCCGGCCCGGTCGCTCTCCTCGGGTCCTCCCGAGGCCGAGGGAAGCTTTGCGCCTTCCGCCTGGCTAACGTGCGATTTATCGTCATTCTTCTCACCCAGCGAGAGCCTCATTCTCCCCGGGCCAGTTGCAGTAGGTGTTTTTCTGTATCAGCTCGAGCAGGGTACTGGAGCTTGCCTCTCTTTGACGCTCTGTGCGTGTGTCATGATCGCGTATTTTTGAGTCTGTGGAACGGTATTTTAAAAGGAACTGTTTCAGGTTATTGCGTTTACACAGAGTTTTAAAAGTTGTTTTACTTCTCTGTGTCCTTACATCAATCCTTGTAATTGAAAAAGACCTAGCATGTTTTATTAGGCACTGTGTATACTCATATTTCAGATTTTATGAACTCCATCTTGTCTATTAAACCTCAGCAGAGAGATCATTCTCTTGTGAAAAGAACGAATATTATAATCACAGCAGAACGCCTTACAAATAAAAGATGCAAGATTTTTTTTTTCCTACTTGTAGATGCTTAGCAGCTATAAAAATTCTCCTTCCAATTCTCTCTCTTTCTATGGCAGACTGAAACTTTTTCAAAACATATATGGCCAGTCCATTAAAAAGATTAAAGACCTAGAAATTACTTTGCTGAAGTCTACAAAAATTTGAAACCATATATTATTCTCCATGGACTTCCAAAGTGTTTGTTCAAGTGCCCTCATAAAGCATTTTTGTGGTTGTCATATTTTCTGTCTTGGGCTTAAATTGACAGAGACAAATTCCTAATGTCCACCTCTTGGTGCTCTAGTGTCTCTGAGCTGCTGTTCATTTGGAAGCCATATTTTCTTTCTTACAAACAGAATAATCACTCAGCACCACTTCTTCTTCTGTTCATCCCTTCCAGGGAAAGAGCTCTGTGCAGAGGAAATGTGCTCAAGGCCACAGCTGTGGAGGTTACAGCATTTTCAGAATTGGTACTTCTTCTTGTATTGGGTTTTTCACATCAAAAGTTTCCTTAAGCTTTAACTACTCCTATTTTAGCTGTTGAGCTCTGTTTAATGGTAGATCTGGCTGATACTCATGCTTATTTAGTACACATATTTCTGTTTGCCTGACTTACCTCGACTCAGTAAAAAAGAAAGCCCAGTAAGTAGTAAAAAATCAGATTTTTCTGTGGAATGATATACAGAATCATGGAATTTCTGTGGCTGATGTCAGACTCTTATATCTGATGGAATTTAGTGTCTGACAAGCTTGATAAGTAAAGCTGAGGCAGACTGCAACACATTCTGCATGGATGTTAATTGTTCAGCGCTAGTCAGGTGGATGAATGGAAGGTGTCTAAACCAGGTATGTTACTATGCATGAGATATAGCTTTTTTTTCTTTTTTTTTTTTCTTTTTTTTTTTTTTTTTTACAATGGTACAGTAACGGTTCTAAAGATTTTGGGTCAGCTGTGTATCTTAAGTTTGTAATTAATATACAAATTTGTGATAAGCAGAAAGCTTGAAATATTTCTGGATGCTTCCTGTCTGGAGCTTATTTTACATTACTTATATAGTACCTCTTCATCTGATCCGGAAGTACTTTGAAACTTTGTTACTAAAGTTGTGTAGGGTGAGTGGCAGGCAGATATTACATCCTTTTAATAAGTGAGTCAACTCAAAAGTAGAGAGGTGAAGGAAGGGTCATACAAGTCAGCTGCAGACCTAACATCTATCTCAGGTCTGCTGTTCACATAGAGTGGGTTTATTTTGCATCCCGAGGTCAAGTATTCAAAACCTACAGAAATAAACAGACTAGCAGTATTGTTTGGCATTTAATATTTTGTCAGAAGAAAACACCTGTAATTAGCCTTTAAAAATTATCTTTTAAGATAAAAGTGACTGTGCTTGTAATAACAAAGATTAAATACACCTAACAGTTTTTGCTGTGCCGAAACCAAAGCTGGGTCACTAAACAATTCTGGGTCTTTAAGCTTTTCTAAATAAGCCTTTTGATCACTGAAACTAGTTACCTATGAAGAAAGGATGTCTTTTCTACAGATAATGTGCCTCTTTAACTAAGTTTGTAGCAAACCACCTGTATTGCTTCATGCCTAAAGAACATTCAGTGTAACATAACTAACTCCCTTATAGTGCAGGCTCTCATATACAGCCATATTTTACTAAACAAGCAGAATTTCAATAGTGCAGTAGGCATAAAGAAATTATACTGTATGGTCAAATTTATTCTAATAAATTTTAGTGAGCTGCCAGTTTAGGTTATACTAAGTCATTACAATTAATTTAGAAAGGTGTGCATGTTAATGTATTTTAAACATCAGTCTTAAACATTGCTTTCGGTCACTTAAAATCCATTTTTAGAGGAAGGGAAAGAGTATAGGAACAAACACGATTTCTATGATTATGAAGTGTTATAAAAGCAATGGAGCACATAGTTGTACAAATATATCTAGTATATTAATATCTATTTTGTGTACTCTTGTGTATTTATAGTTTTTTATTCAAAGAAAATTAATGGTTTAAAAAAATGGGATCTTTAGGCTAATGCAAGAGATGTTAGAGCCCACCTACTTGTGCAGGACTTTGTGCATATTTTGCTGCTCTGACCTAAAGGGTGGGGAGAAATATAAAAGACAGAAACGTTCCTTTAAGGACGTGTAGAGCTCTAGCAGCAATTATACCGAAATGAAACATTTTCTTGATAGTCTGTTAAATACTTTTAGCAGGGATTTTGTTTCTGAACTTTGATTTTTTTTTTCTCCCCAAAAGTCTTTTGAACTGGGTTTCTCCTGAGTTTGAGGATTGGGGATGGCTTCTCAGTTTGCAGATCTACCTTACCTTTCTTCTTTTATTTTTTTTTTTTTTCTGGGTAGCCTTATTAACTGAACCAGCTGACCTATTTCTTTCTACAGAGCAAAGTTGTTTCTCCAAACAGAAGAGTTGCATGTTCTTCCCATGTCCTGTCTCCTGCTTCCCTCTATAGATTTCAGTTTACCTTTCTTTTTTTTCCAACCAATTGTGTACTATGCTTTGTCAAGCCATATGGTCAGCATTGCCTTGGTATTTACTCATATCACATTATATCAGTGTCCTTTGACCACAAATTCTCTAGCTGGCATTTTCATAGGACAGAATAATGTGTCTAACCCAGGTAATCTTTAAAAAAATATTTGCTTTCAGTTGTTATTTCTATTCAATACACAAAATCTATTAATTGATAACAGATTCAGTTGCCCTTGCAGACTTACTGTTATCTAGGAAATATTCCCTGTTGCAATTTCAGTCAGAATCCCAAATGCCATGGCCTGCATTCAGCTGCAAGCATGCTGTTTCATGTTCCCTAGGTCTTTGTCCTTACCTTCTCTACATTGACTTTTGGTCTCCCTACAGGTTGCTATCTCAATAAAATTGTTAGATGGAAAATTGTGTCAAAGCAATGGGAATTCCAGAGTTCAAAAGGATTCCAAGTCCTGAGGTTCCCTAGGCCTTTATGGGGCCTCCTTTGTTCCCCATGCCACTGTTGCGTGTTTGCTCTTGTAGGATGCTCTGTCACTGAACAGTTTGTGAAGGGGTTTAGCTCTCAAACCCAGGTTGTGGGGTTTTTTGCCCATGATACTTCTCAGGCTGTTCCAAACCCTCATGCCCTTAGTGGTTAAAATACTCTGTATGATTTCTGGTTGATGTTTATCTGTGCCCATTTTCTATTCAATTAGTGTGTTTATTTTAAACATTTTTTTCCCTCATCCTACTGTTTATCCCCAGTGTGACTGATTTCAGTGAGTTGCTCTAGCTGGAGTTTCACTTTCTTTTGGATAATGCCTTACATGTAGGGCTTGTTCTCTACAGTATGTAGAGGATGTGACTGAGTGGATGTGATTTTTCCTTAAGACACGTTCGCTGGGACCTGTTCCTTCTGGGTTGCAAAACTCTGCTCTGAACTTTCCCATATTGAGTAAGATTTCTCTCTTGGTGTGCTTTTTCTACTGTCTTTCATAGTATTTGCATAACTATTCTTCAGTTCTTTCAATAATTAGTCTCATACAGTTGTCTTTGTTTCTTGAACTCTTTCTACAGAAGAGAAATGCTCACAGCTTTCAGTTGTACTTTTTTCTTAATTTCTGCTCTGAGGCTTCATAATGTTGTTGATGGACCTCTTGTTGAGAGCAACATACATGTACCATGGCAAAGTATCTTGGCAGAATCTGCCTTGAAAGGGTGATTTTCAGGTTTCTGCTCATGTTGGAAATTTGTGCTATGTCAGCAGCAGTTCTGCTTGACTGCTAGTTGAGTAGGCCTGTGCAGTTCTAGCAATGTAAATTTGTCATATGTTGATGTACTTGCAGTCCTTTTCCTAATGGAAGTAATCATTCCAGATAAACAGGTGGGT